ATTTTTTTTATGACCACTACTTTTGTATAAGTTTAAAGTATTAGTGCAATACTATATGTTGTGAAAATCCTATTGTGATACGCTATTTATAGAAGTCTATTTTGACTCATAGACTCTTAGTTTCTTATGATCAGAGAGATGGTAGGACGTGGTAGACCCCGTACCAGGAGAGCTACCCAGGCGGAGTCACAGCAGACTCCATCAGAGCAGCAGCCAGCTCAGTCCGAGCCTCAGCAGGCACCACCAGAGCCGCAGCAGGCTCCTCAGTATTTGGTGGACATCATGGCTCCTCTTATTGCCCGGATGACAGCCATTGAGGAGTTGGTGACTACCCATATAGCACCACGGACACCACCACCACCGGTAGCACAGCAGCAGGGGATACCTGCCGTTCCTGTCAGAGAGAGACCCCCAGAGGTCACGCCTGCAGCCATCCCCCTAGCAGTTCCAGACAGGGCCACCGAGCAGGAGACTTGGCTCCGTATGGTCGAGAGGTACCAGAAGATGAGGGCACCCGAGTTCCAGGGATCACCAGACCCTCTTGTAGCCCATAAGTGGAAGGAGGATGTGAGCAACATCCTCGATATACTCGGTGTAGATTCAGTCCAGAAGCAGAGACTGGCATCCTACAGCCTGAAGGGAGATGCCGGGAGGTGGTACCGACTCCAGTTCACTCCAGAGCAGAGGCTGACCCTCACGTGGGAGGACTTCATATATTTCTTCGATGGACAGTACGTTTCTTCAGCAGCACGGACTGGGAAGGAACTTGAGTTGTCCCGTTTGACTCAGGGGGACATGACAGTTGCAGACTATGAGAGCAGATTCATGGAGCTGTTACATTTCACAGGCATGTGGCAGACAGGAGAGCGTCAGGCTCAGATGTTCTTGGCTGGGCTTCGCCCTAATCTCCGACGGTACCTCGTGTCGAGGAGATTTTATTCAGTCAGGGAGGTAGCTGAGGCTGCCACTTCTCAGGAGATTGAGACTTCTATGTTCCAGAAAGACAAGGAAGGAAAGGCCAAGACCGGACAGAGTGGGGACAAGGGCAAGAACAAGAGAGGTTTTTCTGGACATCAACAGCAACATCAGGGCCCTTATAAAAGGGGACCCCAGCAGGAGCAGAGAGCGCACCAGCAGCGCAAGTTTCAGGGATCCTGTTTTAACTGTCACAAGGTCGGACATAAGGCATCAGAGTGCCGCAACGCACCAGCAGGAGTCCAGCAGGGCAAGGGTCCGAACCAGCAGCAGCAGCGACAGCAGGGCAGAGGTCAGGGCCAACAGAACAAGCTCGAGGCACCACCAGCAGCTCAGAGGACCGAGGGTCAGATTCGAGCAGTTCAGGATGTTCCCCAGGGACAGATTATCCCATATTCCCCAGCACCATCAGCAGAGCAGTCTTCAGCCACGGGCAGGGTATATGCAGTGGTTCCTCGTGATCATGGCGCCAGCGGAGCTGTAGTGGAGGGTACGTTCTTTGTGAACTCTCTTCCCGCCCGTATTCTTTTCGATTCGGGAGCTTCGCATTC